TGTAGAAAAATTTGTTCTACATGTCTAGTCTATGTGTTCTCTGGTCAGTGCCATAGCGCTGTTACCTTCAATATAATATAACATAGGCTAGTAGCCTGTTACAGTATATTTTATGCATAACACGCAACCACGCACTGTAAAGGTAGTTTCAGAAAGATCAAATATTCAAGTTCAAAGTTATTACTAACACGCCAAAAAAAACTTGGAAAATTTGATTTGTCCAGTGTTTGACCATATGACTACGAATTACCGTATCTTTGCAACGATTATGTAGTTCGAACCACTGAGTGCGCAAAAATGTATGGACAAATTTTGATATATAAAGAGATTTTGTAGGAGACTCGTCATTACTTTGAATTAATGAGAGGCTTGAAATAACCAGAGTCGACTGTTGTATACAAAACCATTATACCCTAATTTCCCATTTTCGATGGGTGCAGGTTATCAATATATTTCATATATGATTAACAGTTGTTACCTGTATATGCATTCTTAGTAAATATTTTTACTTACCATCACAATTTCCCGTACCAGCATTCAATGTATATCCCGTGCCGCAAGATGTCCAACGCTATGAAATTTTGTTGAAAGTATTTTTAATTGGAGGTTTTGACGGAAACGAAAAACAAATTGAAGTACCGTGCATATATATGACCCGATCGTGTTATCGCATCTCTGAGTTGGGAGGCAGTTGTGATTGTTAATTGAGCATTCATTTATATCTGAAGTATGTGAGAGAACGGATACAGTTTGGCATTTTACATCTATATGATTAATATTGAAGGATAAGCTCAAAAAATACTAACCAACGCATTTGTTCTGCGTTACATCCAAAATATAACCAGGCAGGCAGTTGCAGTGGTAACTGCCCACAGTGTTCTTGCATTCCTGGTGCATATCATTTCTGCAAGAATTGGACGCGTTTTGAGCACACTCGTCAATATCAATGCAGCTGCCATTTTTCAAAAGAAAGCCTGTGCCACATGTTTCACTGCTAATGAGATTACAGTCATATCCCCCTGGATAATTGGAGCATTTGTATCCTTTCTCACATGGTGACTGGATACACTCATCATCGTCTATTCGATATATTGCAATAGTCATAGTGATTTAAAATTAAGTGCGGAATAAAGTAAGAAAATATGATTTTTGGCAAAAATAAATAAATAAGTAAGTAAGAGTATTCTAGTCGAGCCAGGTCAAATAAGTGATACCCTGAACCACGAACCAGATAACACATAGACTGGAACAAATTTTTTTACAGCCGAAAATGTTAAGTTGGCAGTGAAAATGCTGCACGACAAATACAGTGCGCTGTAAGGACTACGAAGAATCTTTCTTATATGAAGCATAGCTATGCTTTTACTGTTTAGTCTATGTGTTGCTTGGTTAGTGATTGCGCAAAGATCAGTTCCGTTTTAAAAGGTCTGTCGCGATGTCACATTTTCAGATTGTGCTCTGTTATACTTGCTGACGCTTGGCGGGCACTTCAGAACAGATCCAGCAAGTTGTCCAATGCAATCCAAATTAGGTAAGTGAAAGCAAATTTCAATAGTTAATACATTAAAAAAAAGTCAGTCACTAAAAAAAAAAAAAAAACAAGAAAGGTCTAGTCGAGACTGCTCGACTACGAGATCCCCTGAACGCTTCGAGCAACTGATATTTCAATAATAATTCGCACATACACACGCACACACACAC